CTTTTCCTATTTTAATCAGCTTCGTCATGTACTACGAAATAAATCAATAATTGTTAAATCTTTAATTGGCTTTTTTTTTTATTGAAACCCTAAACCTTTCTTTTCTCTTCTTTTAATGGTCTTTCTACCTCTCTTTCGTCTTTTTCTGGACGCGAATCAACGATGGTGGTCACGTCTCTAATTTGATCTTTTAATTTTTTTTTTTTTGAATAATTTTAAAATTTTTGTCACTTGATGTAGATTTTGAATACATATATCAAATCTATTTGTTTTAATGGATTTGAAATATATACTCTCATATCTATTTATTTTGATAGATTTTATGTTTTCGTTAACTTTTTTTTTTTAAGTTATTGTTACATATTTTCTTTCTCGTAAATAAAAGCATTTTTAAAATTATCAAATCAAACTTATTGAAAGATGGTGGAGTCGAAACATGGTCGTAAATCATCACTAAATGGAGTATACTTATCACCCATGAATCTTGAGCTAAAATTTTTTTATTCTTTATAGGTTTATAGTGTAAAAATATAGGAACTTTTTATTCATATGTGTATTTTATATTTGTGTGTTCTGTTGCCGTCTAATGAAATTTTAATTTTTTTTTTTCAAAAAGAAAAAGAAAATATGAATCAACTCTATCTAAATTATAACATAACCAAAAATATCAACAACAGAATATTCTCATTTAATGTTATTTTCATTAGAGACATCCAAGAGGCAGCTGGAAGTAATCCTAGAAGAGTGGGGAATCCATTTCAAAACAGCTAAGATTAGACTCAGAGAGAAAGTCATCATTAGGAGCTTTAATCCAACCATAGAAGATAATATCCATATACAACAATTTATCCCAATTCACACTGATTTGGTTTGAAGATTAATTAGAACTTTCAATTTAATTTATCAAAAATTCTGACAAATCAAAAGTAAAAGATGGAGAAACATACGATTACAAAAAAACAGAATCAATCGATTAAGCAAATTAAGAAATTGAATTGTTGGAGCTGATGCAAGTGAAAAGGTGAGATTGATTGTCTGATTTGCAGAAGATGACTCGGGAAAATGTAGCTCAAGAGAAGATAAGAAGAATTACATGACAACTTGACGACTCATAATTGAACATTAAAGGGGACAATTGTGGAAATAATGATTTTTCTTTACCCTTTTTTATGATTATTAAATAAATATCAATATTTATATAATAATAATAATAATAATAATTAAAAAATCGATATAGTAATAAAAAAATAAATGTTCGAAACTCGATATTCTATGTTTAAATTAGAGAGGAAATAAAAACAAATAAAAAAAAATTGTTTCTCTCTCTTTTCTGTGTTTGAATATAATTGAAAATTTATTATACTATTAAATACTCCAGTTTAAACACTAATTAGCTAATTGGAAATATTAAATTATTATTTCAAAAATTATATTAACTATACAAGAAATTAATATTTTATATATATAATCCAAAATTTTGAGAAATAAATTTATACATTCAACTATTAATTATTGGCGGAACATATAATTTAATCTTTGTATTTTGATTAAAAAATTTTGTAACACTATAAACTTTAGAATCGATATTATGACATCTTAAATTTTATTTTAATAGTATCAAATATTTTTACAGTCACAATATTGAAAATTTTTTATTTTTGTACGCAAAATATTAATTTAACATGTGACTAATATAATTTTAAAACAATTATTTTATATTTTTAAATATTTATTAGATATTTAATATATTTAATTTTATAAATTGATATATTTAATAAGTCAAATAAAATTTTTAACAAATTTAATTTTATAAATTTAAGAATTCAATAAAGCAAAATAAAAATTAAAGTGCAACAAAATTTTTTTAAAAAAATACAAGGGTAAATTGATATATTGCGCTATTATTTGTGAGTGGCAGCATCAATAAATGTTAAGATGTGCATGATTGCATGTATGGACACATGCATGGCGGACAAGCATTTGCCTCGTCAGCATTTCATTATCATGGGACTCCTCTCTCAGTCTCTCTCTCTCTCTCTCTCTGTCTCTCTTTCTCTGGAGCCTGTTCCTGTCGCTATGCAGGTCCCACAAAAAATTGTGCCTAGTTGCAGCAGTACCTTCTTCCATTATTAATTCACCTTTCGCTAAAAGGGATAGTGGGTCCCATTTTTGGCTCCCGTACTGCACTATCATATCATATCCTGTTTTACGCAATGTCACAATCGCTAGTTATTAACCAGTAGCCTTTATTTCTTATTTAAAAAAAAAATTAAAAATATTAGAATTGTTTTCGTTTGTACGGCACCTATGTGGAATAAGCCAATCACAACTTTCCTTATTGATTAAATGATATTAAATAAATATATATTATAAAACTCATAAATTAATTAGTTCATAATTTGGAAAAAAAAAGGAAAATAAATCTATAGTTATAGGCATTTTCTAAATTCTAAAGCATAAAAAATCTTAAATTTTTCTTTAAATTCTCCCACTTAGTCATAAGACAGGACTAATTAGACTTTAACACTCCGTTTGAAAAAAAGAAAAATCAAAATAATAGAGGAATCAAAATAACAAAGGAAAATGATAACGAATTGTTAATTTTTTTTTCATTGTTATTTTCCACCTTTGTATCATAAAGGAAAGAAAATAAATTTATTTTTTTTAGAAAATATAAAATTTTAGAGGAAAGATTTTTTAATATTAATATCTTAAAATTTTAACTTCCCTTATTTTTTGATATATAACTTCAATATTTAGTTTAAAGTAGTTTGGATTTTTGAATAATTGCATAAAAATTAAAAAAACTTTAACATTTCATCGTTATTTTCTCTCCAAAATGAAGAGATTCTATTTATGTGAGATATAAAGAAAAATAAATTAATTTTTTCTTTTTTTTTTGGAAAAGATAAAATTACGTTTTATAATTATTTTTCTCAGTTATTTTGATTCCTTATAAAAATACCTCCGTTCAAATAGAGCATAAGTGTGAATAAAAATATAATAAAAAGGGAAAGTTTGAAAGTAAAAGTGGTGCCAATATGCATATTTTACAGGATATGAATAAAATTTATAGGAAATTTTTTAAAAGTTAAGACTCATGATCCCAAATTTCTATACATTTTATCCTTGCGTTGATCTTGACCATCCATTTTATCGGGGATATTTTTAATTCATTAGAGGTCTATATGGAATAAAATAACTACATAACAGGGTAGCTCTCTTTTTAACTTACCAAATTGATAAAAAAACTGTAATTGAAAATATTCAAACTTCAGACCTCTCACCTCTCACACACACACACGAGTGAAAATAACAATCAAATCACCATTTAATTTACTTTAATATATTACTTTTGAACAGTTTGATAAAATATATTAAACAACATAATGAAGCAAATTAAAATGTTTAAAAAAAAATTAAAAATCGAATAGTGTAGGTCAAACCTTAGGTAATAAAAGTAATTTATCATATAAAATAATTAAATTGAACCAATAACCAAAATTTAGATGAACACACAGTACTGGCCACTGGGTAATGTGAGTTTAGATGGAGAAATAAATGGTAGTACTGGGTAGTCGGTAGTATATTTAATAAATTTTGGCGCAAAGGCCTAGAAGCCTTTTTGGCAGTTACCGTTGGTTTTCATTAAGGTCGAGCTGCGTTCTGTTTACGCCAATGACAAGAAAAAATAAAATATTCTATATTTGAGTTTTTTTTTTCTTTGTTTAATAAAACAGAGGTTTAATCCCCATAAAAAATTCACCTAACAAAATTCACTTTCGAAGGATTAAATTTATATCAGAAATAGAGGTTACTAATCACATTAACTAACATTTTATTAATTAAATAATAAAATTAAATTTATCCAAAAAATTAATATTTGATGAAATAACTAAACATAATTTTAATATTTGAACTAACAGAATTATAATTATTATTTAATGTAAAAATTATTAATTTATTAAAATGATAAAATTTAAAAAGTTAAAAATTATTATATCATTCTTTCTCACAGACAAGTTATATATATTTTTTATCATTTGGTATAAAGCTGGGATGGTAATTATATAAAAATCTGATTTTTAAATTATTGGCATCAAATATGTCATGTTAGCAAATTAAATATTTGAATCACAAAAACAAGTCCTAAAATATCATAAAAGATACTAAATCCTAACAGTGTTTTTCTATATTTTCTCCTTATCAATAAATATTATAGCATAATTTTTTTATTGCAATTAAGTAATATAGTCCATCAATCTTCATTTATTATAGTGCATTTTAAAATGTCATTAAACTATATGTAACGGTCCAACATTTCTTTTAAGAGCAGTCAGTGTTTAAATAGAAATGACGATATTATTTCCATCACATAATATTTGTGATATTTAATTAAATGATTTATTTCAAAATATTTATGATATTTATAATTTTAAAAAATAATAAATATTTTTTTATATTTAATTTTTAATGATTTGTTATATGTTAATTAAATGATTTATTTCCAATATTTATAGTATGTTATTAATTTTAAAAAATTAATAGAATATTTTTTATATTTTATTTTTAATGATTCCGATATTTTTTATATTTAATTTTTAATGATCCGTATACTTATTCAAAAATTAATTATAATTTATAAAAATTTAATATTTAAAAAAAACGTAAAATTTGAATCGTAACGACTAAGATTAAACCAAGAACTTCCAAGTTCAATTTCAGAATCATTTATATCAAATATAACTTATTATTTCAAAATTAGAGATCGAGAAAAAAGGGGTTTTTCATTATGTCTTACTTAAGCAATATATTTTTCACATTAATAATTTGATAGTATTTCTTTTGTTATGTATGAGGTTGATACTGTGTTTTAATTTGTAAAATGGTGGCCTGCCGTCAGGGTGAAGTTATAACTCACAAGTCAAATTCATAAAAACTCACAAGTTATAACTAATTAATAAATTGAAAATTAAGAATAAAACTAAAAAAAAAAATTATAAAATGAATATTCGGTAAGAACTTCCCATATTTTTCTTGTTCTACATTTTAAATTTTTAATCCTTAAAAGGGTAAGGGAGGAACTTTGATAATTTTTACAAAAGCAAGAGGACTAAAATGAACACTCAAAAATAGTTCCCATTTTATATTTTCCCCCACTCTTACTCCTCTTTCCTTTTAAACCCCTAAAATCTGTCATCTTTTTCTTGTACACCCCTAACCCTTCCACTGGCTACATGAACAGTTCAGATTGCAACAACGCATAATAGTTAGCGTTAGCATCTTCAATCTCCCATAAAACATCACAAAAACCGGACCCATCTACTCCATTAAACCCTTCATACTCATACCCATCTCCAACACTGCCACCGACAACTTCTTCTCTGTTCGGAATCCCGAGTTCATCGTCAGAAGCTTCCAGAAGATGCCTTATAACTCTCTCTTTGTCGTCTTCATCGTCTTCCTTCAACAAACTAGAAGACGAAGACGAAGACGAAGAAGAAGAAGAAGAAAAAGATTGATCGTAATCTTCTACGGCGGTTGCTATGGCGGTCGGTATTTCATTTTTCCGGTCCGTTACGGTCGTTGCGGCGGTTATTTCTTGTTGTAGGGTAGTTATAAGAGAAGATGGGTCTTCATTTGGCTCTTCTTCTTCTTCTTCAAGAGAAGAGAGCATATCTTTATATGACTTATGTCTTTTAGATTCTTCATTAACATCTTCTATTTGAGTTTCTTCTCTTTGGCGCTTTGATGGTGTGTCCGCCATTAGAGAGAGAGAGAGAAGATATTCAGAGAGAAGATAAATAAAGGCAAAGAAAGAAAGGATGAGGAGAGAGAGAGCAGAGACTTGAAAGAGTTATATAGAGGGGAAGAGGAAAGTGGAGTTCCGGTCAAATGAGTGAAAAAAGAAACTTAAAAAAATATTTATTTTATTTAATTAGAGAGAGAAAAAGATGGTCGAGAAAAGAAACGCTATTGTGTCAATGATGACTTGGTGTACGTTTGTGTTTGGGCCGTTGGATCGGAGTTAGCATAGAGATTGGTAATCAATGGTTGTGAACGGAGGTGGATAATAGTGATAGATGAAGACAAAAATAAGCCAATGAAAAAAGAGAGAAGTGTATAATGTAGTGTAATAAAGGTACAGGTGAAGAGTCATGCCGGATTGTACAAGTGGCGGATCTCTTTAAAATATTACTATTTCTTTTGCTTTACTGTACTCGTTTCGTTGGTTTTTTAATATAACAACTGTACAATTACATTACAACCTCCTGCAATCAAGTAATAAAATTAAATCTAGCCCCATTCCAATTTCTTTATAAGGAATATTTTAAAAGAGAACTAATTTTTAAATTTCAACTATTGAACTCCAGGGGTTGCAAAACCAGATAAATATTTTATCATTAAATTAATAATCTAACGTGTGAACTGTTGTTTTATTACTGAGTCTTTTTTTTTAAGTCACATCTGCTTTTGTCTGGTGGTTTAAAAATTTATCTAATTTGCAATAAATTAATGTTCATCGTTCAATAGATAAAAATGAAAAATAAATTATTATTTCTTAAAATTCACAAATATGACATTTTTTTGTGGATGCCGTGCTTTCCCAAATATGATATTCTTTTTCGTGCTGATAGAGCATGCAATATACATTCATAAGATAGAGATTAGATAGTTGAAAATAAAGTATTATTTCATTTGTTCATAAATGTAAGTTATTTAAAATCATGATCAAGAAAAGAATTAATTCTCCTAAATTATGATAAAATATTCGTTAATTTGATTAAATTATATTTTTAAAAATTAATATAATTATTATATTTATTAATATTTTCAAAAAATATTTATACTTATAGATAAAAAAAAACTATCATAAAACAATTTATGTTTATGGATGGTGTGAGTATTTGCCTTAGAAACCAAAAGAAAAAGAAATGGGGAAGAAAGAAGAAAAGCAAAAGACAAAAAACCAATGTGCTTTAACACTTTGGCAGGTAAAGGAGAGTGCATAACTGCCTAACATGGGGTGAGATGTGTGTAGTTGGGATAGGTGATGAGTGATTGCACCTAACATCACATTTATTTAACTACTCTAGGTATTATGCATAGATTTTGAGAGGAAAAAAAAGTGAAATAAAAGACAATTGAAGATTATTTTTGCCATTTGAAAGAATCTTTTCAAGATTGAAGAGCTATTAATTATTTCGATTTATACACAAATATTAAAAAAGTAATTAATTATTTTATATTATAATAAAACTAATAGTAAATTAATTAAATTATCTCTTATCTTAAAATCAATAGTTACTTGTCAAAATATTTATCGCTTTAATATAAATAAAAGTAATATTGAAAAAATATAATTTATTACTTTTTAAAATCTTTTAACGATTTATATTTTGGAATAGATGGAGTAATATTAAGAGCCTTGATGATGGAAACATACTTCCTTAAAATATTAAACACCCTTGCACACTAAGGTTTGAATGAGATAAACATGCTCTTTTTTTTTTTTTTTTTTTTTTTTTTTTTTTTTTTTTTAAACATGCTCTTTTTTTTTTTTTTTTTTTTTTTTGGTTTTTTTTTGAGGAATAACGAGATAAACATGTTTTTGGATGTTATAAAGTATTGATTTTTTTTTTTTTTTTTTTTTTTTTTTTTTTTTTTTTTTTGAGGAATAACGAGATAAACATGTTTTGATTTTATAATGTATGATTTCTTTTATTTTTAGAGTAGAAATATTTATCTTGTTTGTAATGTCATTTTTTATCAACACTCTCTTACTTGAGGAGAATTCAAGAAACGAACTAAATACATTCAAATTATGTTTTTTAAAAAATAATTTATTTATTTATTTATCTCTTTTCTTTATTCATATATGAGGCAGAGTAATATTATACAAGGCCTTTCAGTTATACAGCTGAACAGGAAAAATAATATTTACTTATATCCAATCTACGAACTCGCCTATAAATTAAATTAATCATAATAGAGATTTTTAAAAAATTATTCTCGCTTTTGTCATTTTTTGTTCTGAGTGATTAGCTAGAAACATGATCATTTCAGAAAAATAATATTTTTCATTAATTACGCAGATGAGTCTGTCTTAATAAGTCATTCTCAAAGATGAATCCACTTCCACCGTTCCACGTATGGAATCGCATATCCATTCTTTAAGATAGATAAAAGGAACTGTTTGTAGAGTTAGGAGCTGGGAAATTGGAAATATGCTTTTAGAGTAAATCCAGACCTTGTGGCTTGTGATACCTCACAGGCTTTTTCAGCTTTTCTGTTTTTGTCAGATTCACAAATTCTTCCTTATGTTCACACGATTCTCTTTCTCTGATGTTCTATTTTTTATTTGGTTCATAGAATTATTCAAAAGTCGCAATCTTACGGTTAGGTTACATTTATATAATATATTTTTAATTCTATTAAATTACATTTCATCGCAGTATTTATATTATTTTTAAATAAATATCTAAGTGATTAAATATTGTGATTTGTATTAAAAGATTTCAAGCTTGATCGAATCCTAAGCAAAATATAATTAATTATAAGATTGATTATTGAATCAATGCAATATGTTCGTGTTCCTATAAATATGACATTTATATTAAATTCAATTAAATTTCATTTATTTGTTGTATATTTTTTAATGTAACTTGATTATATTTTCAAGGTTGTTGACAATTTAACTGTTCTTAAACAGTATTTCTCTATTTTTAACACGTCTTCACGTTCATGTCTAATTTTACAAATAAATTTCACGGGTTCTCCTAATCCAAACGCATTTTAATTACTATTTATTTAGATTTACTTAGAAATTAGAATATATTTACGTCTAACTAAGCAATATTCAAATGAATGTTAAGATAAATTTCAAAATAATAGCAAGCCAAGAGCAAAATGTTAAGATATTAATTAAGTTGAGTCTTGAAAAACTTTCTTTGAAAAATAAAAATTTAGATGAGTCTCTGCAAGTGGTTGAAGATGTAAACATTTCATTTCAGTTGCTCCAACCAAGTTCAGACGTAAGAATATTTAGATATTCATATTTAGCTATCTTGACTAATTTATTTTGTGGAAAAAATTAATATGGAACCATTTCTTTTTTGGAATAACTTATTTTTGAATCTTTTTATAATATTGGAAATTAAATAAAAAATACTTAAAATAGTACAAAAATATTTAGAATGATATTTTTCAGTCAATGTTCAATGTCGAATGATATTTTAGTTTTTAGTCAAATTGAATTATGGCCTTTACTATATATTTAAGAAACAAAATTGCAGAGAAAATAATTAAAGTGGTGTGTTATTGAAGATTCATCTTTTTTTTTTTAATATATAATATGTATGAAGATTTCAATGGCATCTTAAAAATTAAATTAAATAGAATTGATTTTTTTTATATATTTTTTCATATAAAATATAAAAGCAGACCATTTGTATTAAAAAATTAAACTAAATTGATATAATTCAATCCGTTATGCGGATTATGGTTACATATTACATATCCCACATAAAATGAGAACATATTAATATATTGCATACTTCAATTAAGAGAATAAAAGATAAATCGATTTTGATATCTATTATAAAAAAACACAATCAGATTTAAGAAAGTCTGTAAAAAAAACGAATTAGACCCAGTATATGTTTTAAACAGACACAAATTTATAATCAAATTAAGGTTTTTTTAAAATAATAAGTAAATGGTTTTAATATAATTTTATAAAAAAATTAATCAATAATAATACTATTTTATTTTAACTCAATACTTCATGGCCTGCTAAATTACAAAATTAAATATATGCCCCAGTGTACCATATGACTATAGACTAATTAAACTAATAGGATGAGCAAATTTATAAATAATTATGGTAATATCACTTTTTTTAATCATTATTATGTTGATATAGTTTCCTTTTACTAAATTAAATTAAAAATGAAAATTTTTGTGTCAGAAAACCTACTTTGAAGATTGAGAAACCTATTCATTATTTATTGAATTTAAAACGCATAAACATACAGAGAAAATCTTGATGGTTTGAACACTTCCACCAAGGAATAGACCACAATTAATTACTACCATTTCATATAATATAAAATTAAATTAAAAAAAAAAATCCAGTCGGTCAAACAGAGATATTTTAAATAATAAAACCCTAGACAGGAAAATCCTTGAATAAATAAAAGCCACTAACTCCAAAACCAAAAACTGTCATTAAAGAGTTGATTTGACCGTAATGAAGGGTTTCAGAATAAGACGACAAAAACCTCGTGCCGTTTGAATTAATTACATTTCCTTTCTTAAGTTAAGGATATAATAAGAAATTATATTTTTTTCCGATAACATTCGAGAATCTTGTAGCAATTTATGGAAAATTATTTAATTTAGAATGACGATCCAAATCACGAGTGATGTGGAAATAAATTAAACGTACCGGTCTGCATAATTAAGCCTAGATTAAACTAAATTTAATAATTAATTTAATATCCTTGTTTCTGTAGGAATCTAAATAAATAAATAAATATATATATATATATAATTAATTAATTTAATATCCTTGTTTCTGTAGGATGCATAACATAAATAAATAAATTATAATTCATATATTTTCTACTTTATTTATTTATATATATAAGATAAGGTGTAGTTTAGTGTTGAACTGTTGATTGATGTTAATGTAGAAGCCAATTCAGTAATTTGTTTATTGCTTGATTTAGCGTGCAAATTAAGAACTCTTTCTCTGGAAATCTTTTATTATTGTTAATTAATTAATTAATTAATATAAACCATATTGTACTTTGAAAAAGATATGCTAATTAATTT